TTGAGAAGGGACATCCCCATGGCTGCACCCCAATTTTGTACAGCAAACCACAGGCTGCACTTCCCTCCAGGTGACACAGCTGCTCTCATCACTGTGGCAGGTCACCATATTCCCTTGTTTTCTTTCACTTGCTCACCTGCTTATTTGACAATTTGCTGATTGTTGAAGGGTCTTTAATCATTCCCAGCAGGGAGGCTGGCTGGAATTTGTGTCTGGGAGTGGAATGATCACTGCACAGGAATAATGTGGTTTATGCCGTGGGAGTCCAGGTCTCCAGGCCTTTGATTCTCTTGACTGCAGTCAATAAAACATGCTTTGACTTTCAGGGAACCGTGACTTTCAGGCTCCCCTTGGATAGGTGATGTCCTGAATTTGCTGCTGAGCACAGAGCTGCAAGTTTTGTATCCCCAGGAAGCATTTACTGAAATTCTGCATTCATGGCATTAGGCATATCACAGTCCTGAGCGTGGGTAGTTCAGATGGCTGGGAACTTAAAAAACTATCTATTTATTATGTTTGAAAAAGGAAAAAATAAGAAAGTGCATACCTGAAGGGAGGGTTGCTGTTTGCAGAGCCAGATGTAGGTTCTGGCTCCCAGCCCAGCTGAGCTGTGACCTCCAGACTTCCCTGGACACCCAAACCTCAGAGTGGCTCCAAGTTTTGCAGAGCACAGCAAAGCACAGGCACTCTGAACCCTGCTATTCATTGGAAGCAAAGCTCTGCATTTAAGGTTTCCTTTGGGAGAGGCACCTTGCAGGAACTCCCCAAATTTGATAAATTGGTGGGGAAATATCAGCTGAGGTTGGTGTTTAATGGAGTGAGCAGTGTTCAGAGTGGAAGCTGAGAGGATTTGGGACCCACCTTGAGAACGCCATCTCCTCCTTAGTCTGTGGGGTGGTTTGGGAGCTGCTGAGATGAGCTGTGCTGGGCTCCAGCCCTGGGATGGGGATGGCAGCTTGGGGGTGATCTCACCCCTGTGCTGGGCTCCAGCCCTGGCCAGGCAGGACATGGGGAGTGAGGCAAGACCGAGGTCACCACCACAAGCAGCTCCTGGGAGGAGCTCTGTTTCCAGTGAAACAGCTCCTCTGTGAGAGAGAGCATCCAGATCTGTGGGATCAATCTGTCCACACATGCAGAAACCCAGGGTGGGCTGAGTTTGCCAAGCTGAATTATTCTCCGAGGAAGGGCGGCTGGGATTTCATCTGGGTTTGGTTTCTCGCCCTGCCCTGGCTGTCCTGGATACAGCATTTCCCCCCGGAGGCAGCTGCAGACCTCTGTGCAGCAATGCCAGGTGGCCAGAAAATGTGCTCCAGCCCAAAATCTGGCTGCCTTTCCCTGCTGGATGAATTATCTGTGAAAACCTCTCACGGCTCACACAAAACAAGGTAATTATTCAGCAGGCGGGGGATACGCAGAGCCAGAGTATGAAATTATTATCTGTTAGTGATTTACAGAGAGCCACAGACGGTGTCAAGGAACAGCAGCTGAACCAAACTTGCTTTGGCAACCTCGTGGCTCCCAAATGCTCCAGGCAACCCAGAGGGGCTGATGGAGAGCTGGTGGACCCTCCCAGAGGGGCTCCTGGGGGTCTCTGTCTGCCCCTTCCCCTCCATAAAGGGGAAGGATGTGCTTTACATAAAACCCTGACATCTCAGGATGGCAAAGACCACAATCCAGGGGAGACTTTTGCTGTCTCACACAGTAACCAGAGATTTTTTTGGGGAACAAACAGAAGATGTCCCTGTCCATGGCAGGGCATTAGAGAGAGATAATCTTTACAACTCCCTCCAGCCCAAACCATTCCACGGTGGAAGGGTGCATCTCATAGATCAGAGCAGTCTTCTAAACTCTGAGGGCTTGGAGCTGCCTCGCTGCCAGTGTGGCTCTGCTGGAAAATCACCGAGGCAGAGCCTTTCCAAGCGTTTCTTCTCACACTTCCTTCAGTAGCAGCTTTACAAACTCCCTTCCTCAGCCAAATGCTTCTCCCTTGGCACCCGTGGCTGCTCTGGCAGGTTTGTTGCTCACATTCCCAAACCATTCCTTCTCCTTCAGCCCCAGCTATTCACCACTCCGTACCCCCCTCCCTGATCTTTAGGTTTTAATTGACAGGATAAGGGGGAATGGATCCAAACT